AAGCCAATCGCAAGACATCTGTTTCCTGCTGAACTCTTACCAGCATCTCTATACCCCATTAACACAATCCTCAGCTCTGAGAGATGTTGAGCATCACCTGCAACAAATAAGGAACAAACACATTTAATCAACATGATATTGTACTGAGTATCTGTAAATATCTGCTCTATATACTTTTAATAAAATCCCCAAGTAATAAATTAAGTAAGTGATCATGTACAGTCATTATCACAAACCCCGACAGTGTGATCTGGACCCTGAGATGATGCTGAGCATTTAGGTTTGCATTATAAATGATGTACATGAAATAAGTGTAGATTTTAAGCATTCTTGACCAACAAACACTAACAGGTTTGACACACTGATCCAACAAAACCAAGAGTCACTGGAGGCTGGTGTTTGTTAGAGTTTGTTTAGTCAGTGTGAACTACACTCTTAAAAATAAAGGTGCTTCACGATGCCATAGAAGAACCTTTTTGTCTAAATGGTTCCATAAAGAACCTTTAACATCTGAAGAACCTTTCTGTTTCCCAAAAGGTTCTTTGTGGCGAAATAAGGTTCTTCAGATTACAAAAACGCAAGAAAGAGATGGTTCTTTAAAGAACCTTTGACTGAATGGTTCTTTGTGGAACCAAAAATGGTTCTTCTATGGCATCGCTTGAAGAACCTTTTGAAGCACCTTTATTTTTAAGAGTGTAAGGCCTGAACACTAAAGTAAAGTCTTTGTCTGTCTTCGTCTGAATGGGGGGGTTGCTGAAGTGTTCAGATGGGTGTAATGTTTAGAAAAGAAATGTCTTTTCATAAGAATGGTTGCTTTCTTTCAAATAGTTACAATGATAACAAGAATGTTTATGAACTATATGATTTCATTTGCATTCTTTATAAAACAAACATTTCCTCTTGAAGATCTCTGAGTTGCAGCTATACCCAACTCCAGCACAGAGACGAGTGACACGCAGTCGCTGGCAGTGAGAATGAGGTTTAACAGGTATTTAATAGACATATCACTGAAACTGGATGTGGTGTCCCCACGGTGATCCGACAGACTGACACATCGACTGACATGCGTACAGCTCATATTGCTACCATGCTGAAAATCGTGGCTTCCTTCCTTAACCTTCGAGGACATCTTTGCTGATCAGCAGGTTCAATGTGGTTAAAGTTAAGGGTGGACTTTAGGAATAGGGACACATTAGATCCCAATGAGGCAGCATTCAGTAAAATGCTGTCAATTGTAAAATTTTTAGAAGTAAAAAAAAAAGAACAAATCAACGTATAACTGACAGTCAAAAACTATAAACTGACATTCCCAGAATTCCCTGCATGAAACTACATTTGAAGGTATTTTGTTTAAAATAATCATGCTTTTTAATAGTTTTTGTTATCAGTTCCGCACATTTGGGTTTTAATGTTACATCTTCTGTTATTTAATGTTTATTGCATTATTTAAGTGCCATGTGAGCTACCATGATGCTGTTTTGATGCATGAACAACTCTGTGCATCTGTATAATAATATATACTTCAGCTTGGGGAAAAGCTTCTTATGATGACCTTCATTATTGTTCATGTGGATTCCTGTTTTACCACCTGCATTATTATAGTGAATTTCTATATAAATATGTAGGCAGCTAGTGTGCATACATTCAATTGGATCTTACTTTGATTTTTGTGCTGTTGTTGTGTCCCTAATTTCCATAAAAAGTAAATTTTAGACTCACTCATCTGTGATCTGATGTCATCTTTTTGTTTTTTCATCCTCTTCATTCGTTCTTTTGCTCTCTCTTCCTCTGCTCTTCTTCTCTCTTTCATCTCTAGTAAAATCTTTCTGTCTATTTCCAAATGGCAGCCGTTGTTTTGTGCCACCGTCTCCTCAATCTTCTCCAGCAGCTCCTTGATCTGAGTGTCATCACTCCTGTTCTGATTGTTGAGAACATGATACCTGTTCCCACATTTGTCCAGCAGCCACTGGAGATCCTGCCCTTCACTCTCAATGTGCTGCTTTATAGATGTTTCTGACAGAGTCTCCACGAGTGAACAGCACTATAGTGTGACTCCAGACTCTCTCACAGAGAAGATCCAGATGCCCCTGCACTGCTTTTCTCAGTCTCTTTAAATCTAGTATCCACACGTATGATCAGTAGTACAGCGTGTGGTCCTGGAGGACACAGAGACACACTGAGCAAAATCTCCTGTTTCAGTAACTCAGGACTGAACTCTACAGTGTAATTCATCCACCATCCTGGAGCTTCAATGACAGTGATGTGTCTGTCTGCTACTTCTCCATGTCTCCTCACACACTGAGCAGATGTCTTCAAGTCAAACTCCTCTCTGCCCAGGATAGTGTTTCCTGTTGAACTCTTACCAGCAGCTCTATACCCCATTAACACAATCCTCAGCTCTGAGAGATGTTGAGCATCACCTGCAACAGAGAATAAAACACACTGATCCAAAATGATGTATTATTGAGAATCTGTAAATATCTGCTCTATATATGCTACATTTAATACAATCTTTAAGTTATGAAGTAAGGGATAATGTACAGTCATTATTAAAAAAAAAAAAATTAATCAGGTTGATCAGGACACAAATGTGAAGCTGAATCTGTGCATTTGGATTATAAACAACATACATGAATTGATAAGCAGTTTTCAACCAACAAACAATAGTATTTTAAATATTAAAAATTGGTTTCTTTTATAAAGATTATTTATGCTTTTTTTAAATAGTTCACAGTAATAATGAGTTTGCTTGAAAACTGAATATCGTTTATAATACAAAAGTATAATTTATGAATGGCGTTCAGCTTTTTAAAACAGTGCTAATTATAATCCATAGTAAATTTTATTTACTATTTTTGATAATTTCAGTGATCAGCACATCAAGTTTCAGTATTTGTAGTGACTCTACTGGCCAACATTGCTGAAAACAGTCTCTTGTAATCACACATGATCTCTGTCACACAACTCAATAAGCAATAAGAATCGGAAATATTAGTTTGGAATTGATTCTTGGATTCCAAAATTTCTGGAAGTAAGGAGAGGATGTGGTGGTTGATTCTACTACATGCAAAACATCATAATTGCTGCCAACTGTTATTTAATTTCCATTAAAATATTAAGGTAGTTAGGATACTTCTCGCCAGTCAATACAATGAGTATCAACAGTGAATAAATCATTAGTCAGCAGCCAGCTATGAGCTAGTCTAACTATCATTAGCGAGTTCACTAGCTATCATTAAAGAACAAACAAACCCTTTTTCGCCTTATTTCCTACTGGGCAGGGGACGGGAAGAAAGAGGTAAGTATATAAAATAATAATAATAAGCAGTTGCAAAATGTTCTTTACATTGAGACAAGGTCCAGATTTCAGTCTAATTCATCCAATACCTCATTTTGAATATATTTTGTGCATTTTCAAAATGCAAAGTACTGTATTTGATACATGTATTCTACACAGTATTTTGTATTTATTTTGAACTAGTTAAACTAAGGTATTTTGTATTTTAATTTTAAATACATTTTCGTTTATTTGTGCCCATCTCTGCATACAGTATGATGTCTTTTAAGTAATTATAGTTATTCATAAAAATATATTTAACACGTACTAATGGCCTTCTAAATCAATTAATAGGCTAAATATTGTTCTTGTGTGCACGCACACACCTGTAAAGGGAAACGGCGTGCAATTACACATCACTGCACTCGTGGAAATTCAAAGAACACATGACTGTAATTCTTGGGGGAAAAAAATTAAAAGCCTTACCTTTACAGGTAGCCTTACCTGATATGGAGATTAAACTGCTTAATTAAAATAGTTTACTATGAGTGAAAATGCAATCATTTTTGAAAGAACAAATGCTTACCAAAGTCCATTTTTCTGAGTTTCACAGTACATTTAGTTCCACCAACAGTCTAGCAGTCTTTACTTTCAGTTTACTTCCAACATGTCAACCAATCTCTCCATCACTTGAAGTTAAAGTAAAATTAAAATGACTGGATACATTTGTTTCTAAAGCTGATGTTCAAGGTTATGTTAGCTCTGCGAAACAAGCTATTAACTTAAGTTGAAATCCATCTGATATCTTTAAGTCAAAGTTCAGTCATAAAATACCTTCAGATACAATTGACCTAAAACTACAGTGCCTCCGTAGTAAATAATTAACTTACTGAACTTGATAAAATAGACTCTTTGTACACTTTGGACCAAAGACTGTAGGGTCTCGTTTAGAAATAAGAAGCATATTATACAGTACATACATATTATGTGTAAACATAATTTTAACGAAAAATGTTTATAAGAACATACCCATTTGTAGACAGCTCTTTAACAACTGCACTCTTAAAAATAAAGGTTCTTCACGATGCCATAGAAGAACCTTTTTGTCTAAATGGTTCCATAAAGAACCTTTAACATCTGAAGAACCTTTCTGTTTCACAAAAGGTTCTTTGTGTCGAAAGAAGGTTCTTCAGATTATAAAAAGGTAAGAAAGAGATGGTTCTTTAAAGAACCTTTGACTGAATGGTTCTTTGTGGAACCAAAAATGGTTCTTCTATGGCATCGCTTGAAGAACCTTTTGAAGCACCTTTATTTTTAAGAGTGTGGAAGTGGACAGATGTTATATCATTATTTAATCTTCAAAGTATTTACTGTATATTGTTACAAAAAAACAAGTATACGATGCAAAGGTCATAGTACAACATGGCCACTTCCTGAAAATAATAGTTTCTTACATTTAGTACAAAGTTGTTGTTCTATTTTGTGTGCTGTGCAATTTTCAGATACAATTTTTTTAAATTATCAAATTTTTAGATTAAAAACTATTAAAACTGAAGAAATACACAGAAAATATAAATATTAATAAATGATACATTTTCAGAAAAAATATTAGTTTAATTGTTATTTATTAGCCACTTAGATTTATGTCTAAGTCTAAAGGTCAGTTTTTTTATATATTTCAGTTAAAAAAATATTTTATTTATAATTCTTCAAGATTGACAACTGTTAAAATGTATTAAATACATTGTTATATTTACAGAAATAATATCAGTTTCATTGTTATTTATAAGTCACTCAGATTTATGTCGTCTGCTGTTGTTCAGGATGTTCAGAGATCTTCTGAATGATTGAGATCCCATCCATATCCAGCTCCACTGAATGAACACTGAAGGAACCAATGCCCTGTCAAAACATCAGCAAGACCAACAATATTCATAACATGCAATTTACTTTAACCATTTGTTTTTCTGTTTTTACTAGTGTTTAAGTTAAAAGTTATGTATGTGACCCTGGACCACAAAACCAGTCATAAGGGTCCATTTTTTTTAAATTGAGATTTATACATCAGCTGAATAAATAAACTTTCCATTGATGTATGCTTTGTTAGAATAGGATAATATTTGGCAGAGACACAAATATTCAAAAAGTTTGGAATCTGAGAGTGCAAAAAAAAAATCAAAATATTGAGAAAATCGCCTATAAAGTTGTCCAAATGAAGTCCTTAGCAACGTATATTACTAATGATAATACATTTTTCGATATATTTAAGGTAGGAAACTTACAAAATATCTTCATGGAACATGATCTTAACTTAATAATGATTAATGATTTTTGGCATAAAAGAAAAATCGATAATTTTGACCCATACAATGTACTATATTGTTGGCTATTGCTACAAATATGCCCGTGCGACTTATGACTGGTTTTGTGGTCCAGGGTCACATATATTAAAAATTGTAATATATATAAAAAAAAATTATATATAAAAAGTA